TGTCCTTTTCCCCTCTTGTTTGATAATATGCTGTTATATAACGTTACTAATTGGTTCAATTTCCACTCGTTGGAAGAATAGTAGGATTATTATTAAATTCTACTGAGCAATAAATGTGAAATAACTGCAAAAACAGAAAATTCATATAATTTTTCGATTTGTCAGAGACAAATTTGTCAAGAAGTATAAATCTCCAACTCGTAGCTATATTACGCTTCACATAAATTGCTTAATTTAATTAAGAAATACATCAGTGCCAGCAACGAGTACGGCAATTTTATTACCTTTTACGAGAAATGTAGAAATTCTTAAATCACATAACGCGACATATTACTGACGAAGCTTCATCCAGGCGGAGGATGGTATGAGAAAAAAAAACGATGTAATCACACACATTTCCCTCCAGATCTCACTTTTGTAATACCAGTTTTAGTAGTTGCCATTGCAGGAATATCAAGGAATATTGCATGCATAAAACTAGATTGTTATCATTACCACAGCAGTTTTATGCTTTTATTAAATTTTTAATTAAAATTCCAGCTTAAGAAGAATATAAATATTTTTAAATCACATCATATTCCAATTTCAAGAAAAAACACATTTTGTTGCCAGTGAAAACAATGGTGGTCGAAATAATTTGATGGTTGAATGCTTGTTGCGTGTCTTCTGTTCTTTGCAAATAGGCTTTCAAGATATCGACAACTGGGATACCATTATATCTTCTCATCGCCATCTTGCTTCAATATTCAAAACACGTATACGCAACAAAGCATTCTGATTGATGTATCCTTAAAAATGCAAATGGTGTTTGGCGCTTGTGATCGGTGTTGCGTGTCTCCTTCGAATTTATTCCTTGCACATGAAAAACTGGGATAATCGGATAATGTTGCTAGTAAATTATTTTTCTCTAATCTCGACAGATCTTTAATTGCTTTTTTGCATTTGTGTTTTTTTTTTCTATAAAATATCTGTAACATAATGCTTTTTTCTTGTAATATATAATGTCCAAATTTCTTATAAAGCATGGTAGGTTAATGATAAAAGCTCACTAGAATTAAAAATCTTACACTTTTATACGAGTTTGATTGCTGTCAAAAAATTCTGTCGTTTCCAACCACAGTGACATAACTGTCAACGAAGAAGAGTGATCTTATTTGCGATCGTATGTTTTAGTTTGCGGAAATGATAAAAAAAGATAAATCTCTTATTAATTACGATAAAGAAAACAAAATTAAATTGTCTTTGCTTAAAAAGGTCGTTACAAGATGCGATACTACTGGTGCATTTGCTTCAAAAAATTAATGACGTCATTTCAAAATTAAATGCCAATTTTTGACAATTCACATTTAGATTTATAACTTTACGCAGATTGTTCTAGAAAAATTAAATTTAACCGTTACCTTAAGAGACTTCTTTGAAATTTTGAAGATACAAGCAGTGCTTATTCATGTATTTATACCTACTGTGACGCCATATTTAATTTTTTGAAATTATGCGTACACATGCAACACTTCGGTTTTTAATTTTACATAGAATAAAAAACTGTAAAAAAATAAATGCAACTTTCAGAATTATAAGTTTATATCAAACATACAGTTTCCGACAAAAAATTTCAAACATCACTTTTCTGTCGTGTCAAAAATTTTAATGTAGTCTATGCTTTATTGTCATTATTTCGGACAGCTGGAATGTCAAACTTTCAAAATACCTAAACATCTAAAGGTTGCTTTACACTATTTGACGACTGAATGACATTGACGTCTGAAATTTTTTGGCGGCAACTGTGTCATAGCAACCTTCTTCCAGCTTTTAGCAAGACATTGATTTGTCGTTTATAAAGTATTCAGTAAAATTAATAATTCATTCCTTGAGAAAGTAATGTGCGTCTTCTTAAAAAAGCACTAAATGCCTCGTTCGAAACAATACACCCTAAGATGTTCTACTATTCTTAGTGAATTTGCTTTTATTTTTTAGAATTTTGTATTATTTATCTCAGAAATCCTGAGGGGTATGTCGTCACCACAGGATTAGTATTGCATTGTGTTTTGAAAAATTGATGACTTCATACCAAAAAGATGAAACAACTGAAACATTAATTCTTGTCTTTTAGAATAATTTTGACGGATGTTTTGTTTTAAGAGTTTCGTAATACGTAGAATACGAAAATACAAATTGATGTTTTTGTTTATATAATTGTTCGAAATTCAATCAACGATATTAGGAACCCGGTTGTAATAAAGATTATTATTTGTTGTACAGACAATAACATTTTTATGTATAATGCGTCTTTAACTAGGCTCAATCAAATATCTGTTTTTTTTACGCTTGTTTAACATGTTTTATTCGACAATTAAAATCTACATTTATCGAACAAAATTAAATTAAAATGATTAACTTTAAAACATTTAAAAAAATCTTTATCAGTATCTTTTTAACAGTGAATCATAGGCTCTCAATGATATAATTAATGAATAGGATGAATTATTGCATATTGCTGTTATCTTCTTTTTCGTAGTGTTATATTCATTGTTTTATGTTTTACTAACGTTTATAAACTTATATGTAAGTGTTAATGAATATATAATTATTATTTTGATTCTGTTAAAAAACGGTATTTTCCTAGTTAAAAAATTTTTGAAATTTTATTGAGGCACAAATTTTAACTTAGAAATTACAAATTATTATTTATCGTAAAAACCGGCAAAACAGCGGCCACCCTAAAATATTTCACAAAATCGCATTAAAAATTATTAATTTATCAAGGAATTGCTATTTAATTTAGAGAACCATTCACTGTAGACACAGGATGTACAAATTAGCTAAAAAAATTGTAAGTGGTTAATATTCCAGGGTGGCTGTTTTTTTTTGCCGGTGTATAATTCCTGTCTTTGATGTATTTTTTTATATACTATAATTCTTTAGAATTTAGGTCATGTAGCGAATAATCGTGCATTCGCGACATTGTATTCACTGACATAAACTTATTCAAGCGAAGAGTAGAAACTTTAAATGGATATCTGATTTTTGAGCTTTTTTCTCCATTATGACATGAAATTGTGAAATGAATATTAAGTATTTACCTTCTTGAAAAAATTTAATATGTCATCTTGAAAAACGTTAAGTACATTTTTTCCAAAAATACGCATAATGTGATCACGATATAAAAAATTACTAAGTTGATAATATTACTTTGGCATGCAGAATTAATCCCATTTCTGAAAAATCCGAATTGATGAAAGAAGAATTAGTACACCTATAATCGAATGTATTAGCTTTTTTTACAAAATTAAAAGCATTGGCAGAACTCTTGTATAGTGCATTCGAATTTGTAGTCAATTTACTTTTAAAAATAACGACGGTAATAATGTGATAATAATCATGTTTATTTTATTCGGATTATGTAACCGTAATGCAATAATGATAATTTAATTATAGTTCTTTACTCAGTACGAGTCGATGCAAGAAGTAGTTCGCGTAAGCTTTCTTCCGGTCAGCGTGCGATTGATGTCAATAAAAAAATCGGATATAAAATCGTGCTGATTTTTCCACTTCTTTATACAAACTATCATTCATATTCAAATGAACTTTTTTACAAAGGAATATTTAATTAAGAACTGTTTTATTAGTAGTAACTTTCTTCGTTCCAAATGCATAACTACCAAAGTAGGTTACAAGATCATGTAAACAAACAAGTCGGCAAGGCAAATCTTGCGTGCACGCGGTCGTGGAACTAGAACCAGTGTTAATTGATTTTTTCCTAATTGATTTATTATACAGACGTCAACATGTAGAACAAACTATTTGGAAAAATGAAATGATAACAATGTCGGGATAAGATCATGTCCGTGATGACACGAAGTAGCGGCTGTTCATAACACTAATTGTAAATCAATATTATATATATTGATTAATTTATAATTCTTGTTAATTCAGTTAAAACAACAAAATATTTTATGAATTGCTTGAATGGACAGACTACTAAAACAATTTCCGAATGTCAAAATAGTTTAAAGAGGGATATTTGAGTTTAGATGAGGTTATGTAAATTTTAAAACATTTTATTATTGTTTCATCTAATATGTATTCGGCCCTGTTAACAATTCTACATTGCTAAGTGAACTCCTTTACCGCTAACGTATGGGTAAAGATATTACAGTAAATGCTACAAAACCGTCTAAAAGCTTGTTGCGTAATTAGGTTCATAAAATGTACTAAAAGTTGAGTAGAGGCAGTAAATCCTAATTAGACTGATTTTTTCCATTAATTTTCATCATAGGGCTGATACACTCGCTCATAATTTATAATTATGTAAATACGCAAATACTTTAATGTCTTTTTCATAGAAATGTTGACGTGCCTTAAAATCGTATATTATTTATTTACCGTATATATTACTATAATCTTTATTTATATTCATTATTCCAGTTATTATAAACACTAATTTTGCACAATAAATTGAAGCTGTTGCTATAGTGGGTTTCTTTGCTATTTGGAAGTTCTTGGAACTTGGATTATAGGCACCTAGATAGAGTGACTCATACCGAGTCGACTGGTTTTAAAGTATGAAAAAAGGTGGCAGATTAAAGTCTGCTCTAACTCGTGGGTTGCAGCTTTTTTTCTTGTCTGGTCAACACAACGCACTCATTGGAATTTAATCGTGTGCATTCTTTTTATTTCGATGAACGGGTTAACATGAAACTCTTGACTCTATAATTATATGTGGGTATAGTCATTGAAACTAACATTTCTTGGTGTGTTACAATTATTCTAAATTCTTGAATAAAACAATGTGCTCCTTTTTAATGTTGATTTTTACCAAGATTAATTGTCGGAAAGACATAACGGTAAAAACGCTATAACAGATGAGCGGATAAAATGGTCAATTATAATGTATAATTAAAACAACTAATAAAAAGTTGTTGACTTTAATTTCCGCCTTTTGATTAATAGTTTTCTTACAAAAGAGATTTCGTACAATTTATGCAAATTTCGTGTTTTAGGTCAATTGGTGAAATGGACTCAACCGGTTCGGTATCAGCTGTAGAATCTGCTCTTGATAGACTGGCAAAACAAAGGAGCGATCTTGAAGAACTCTGGGCAGCCCGTAAATTACGACTGGACCTTTGTTTAAGATTGAGATTGTTCGAAAGGGACGCTCTAGAGGTACACAATATGTAACTAATTAAATTCAGTAACAATAGCATTGATAATACAGGTATCTTCACAATTGGAAATGTGGTCAGAAGAACTCCAACATAGTGAACTGACCCGAGATATCGCAAAAGCCGAACAATTCCTCCGTCTACACAATGAAAGCGTCAGTCAGATGCAAAATACAACCTATCAGGTGCTACAACAGGGCCAAGACCTGATACAAGTCTTCGAAAATTCCGGAATATGTGTGATGGCCGACGCTCAGTACAACGCTCAAACCAGGGTCCAAGTTTTGCTCGAGTTCCTGCACGACCGCGAAGTCGATCTAGAGGATTTGGCAGAAGTGAAAAGAGTTAAATTGGAGCAGTGCATTCAGCTGGGGCAATTTCAGAACGACGCCAATCAGGTGATAAGCTGGATTCGTAACGGAGAGTCGATGTTGATGGCTAGTTTCACCATTCCGAATAGCCTGGCGGATGCGGAATTATTGAAAAAAGAACACGAACAGTTTCAAGTTGCCATTGAGAAAACTCACACTTCAGCCGTGCAAGTCAAATATCGAGCCGACGCTCTCATAAATGCCAATCACTACGACCCGCAAAGCATCCGAGAAATATCAGAAGAAGTCACGAAACGGTGGCAGCAATTAGTTACTTGTGCCGAAGAGCGCCATAAGCTTGTAACGGCGAGTTTGAACTTTTATAAAACGGCCGAACAAGTCTGTTCGGTGCTGGATAGTTTAGAAAGGGAGTATAGAAGAGACGAGGACTGGTGTGCTACTGGGCAACAGAACGTGGACAAGGCTACTTCAATCTCGCAGCTGATCAATAAACACCAGGAACAAAAAGAAGCATTTCTGAAGGCTTGTACGTTGGCAAGACGGACAGCAGAAACATTCCTAAAATACACAACACGCAGCCTGCAATTTTACAATTATTCTAACACCACAAGCAATCACGAAACTCGGGTAAAGGGGATTTTAGAGAAACTTTTGAGCCAAGAAAATAAAGTTCTGGAACACTGGACCCAACGCAAGAAACGTTTAGATCAGTGTCAGCAGTTTGTTCTTTTTGAGCGATCTGCCAAACAAGCTATTGAATGGATACACGACACGGGCGAATGTTACCTAACTACCCATGCAACGAATTTAGGAAATAATATTGAAGAAACGGAAAGTTTGCTTCGTGAACACAACGAATTTAAAGGAACTGCCAAAGAAACGCGAGAAAGAGTAAAATTGTTAATTCAGTTAGCAGATAGTTTGGTGGAAAAAGGTCATGCTCATGCTAGCTCCATTAAGCAATGGGTAGCTGCTGTGGACAACAGGTATAAAGACTTTAGTTCGCGTATGGAACAATATAGGCAGCAATTGGAGGATACGTTAGGCATTCAGGCGGAAGAAAGTGAGAAAAAAGAACTCTCAATTGACAGAAATTCTGACCCTAGTTTGGAAGCGAAAGTTAAAGAAGCTGCAGCTAAAGATCTTAAGGAGCTTAATGAGGAAAAAAGACGTTCCGCTAGAAGGAAAGAGTGAGTATTAATGTAATTTTTATGGTCACGTATACGGGAATATTCAATTTTATTTAATGGGCGACGGACCACTTATGTAACCTTTAACGTCCTATTAAAAACTACCAGCTGTTACAAAATACTTTTTCAAGAATCTTATTTTTCAGACACAACTAGATCCTACTTGTGTTATTAATTGTATTAAAGTTCCGTTGTTTTGCGAATTTAGTGTACCTACTTGTAATTTCCTGTATAGTGTCACAGATATTTTTACTTATATTGCTAACCACCACGCAATAGTAAATTTTACAAATTGGAACACCGATCATAGCGCGAATGTGAAACTGTTAAAGTTTTGGACATTATGCTTTAAACTTGCTTAAATACAAGTAATTAGGTATAATTTATTACAAAAGCTTGGCAAGTTTGTAGAAAAAATAAATGTGAGTTACACCAAAAGCGCCACACGGACAAAGTAAAGAAAAATCCAGAAAGACAAACGAACTGTTTCCACTTTTACCTACAAATCAGCTGATTCAGTGACCATATGTTCCATAGCTACCCAATACTTGTATGTGATAATTTCTGAGTGCTTTAATTTTGCGCTTACTGTCACACTGAATTGAGGATATGGGAGGTCTTCAGGGTCAACAAAACTATTAAATTTAAGTGAAAATGTCTCATTTAGAATGACGCTTCTGATATTAACTGTCTGTAGAATTAACTTAGTCTTAAAGTTGCTTTCTTAATAAGTAGGGTTTGTTTCAGTTTTTTACTACCCCATATAAAACTAAGGTTCCTTTGGCACTTGCCAGAATTAATGTTTATGGCCCGTTTTTCGCAGCCGTTGAACACTTTAAGATTTTATTACACATATAATAACCACCGTTCTGTGATAGACTATTCCCCTCTTTAGTTACATTTTTATGCTAGACATCTTTATGGAAAATTGATAAAGACTGAATTTTAGTTTATGATGGCAGTGAAAGTAGTACCTATTTGGCAAAATCTGAACGAATATTGTCGTAAACTAACCTACTTAATTTCCGAAGTAGACAACCGGAAATTAAAAAAAGATACGTTTAGCACGAATATATTTTGGTTTAAAATTTAACATCAGTTCATAAGATTCACCTCCATTGTTATTAATGTAGATAAGATGTAATGAGGAAGGAGGACAAAACACTATTCTGATTATTTAAGCCAACGTTTCGAGAACTATACTTTCTCTTCTTCAGGGTTATGTGTCAAATTAGTATCTAACATTTTATGAAAATTAAGCCTTACTTAATAATCACATTAAAATATTTTACTTAACATTGTTTTTAATTAACTGATACATGAAACAATTACATTAAAAAGGTTAAATTATGTATGACAATTTTGACATTTCATCATTCAACCGTTTTAACGTAATTGTTTCATGTATCAGATAATTAAAAATGTTAAGTGAAATACTTTAATCTAATTCCTAAGACGGACAATTTCGAACATCGTGGTATTTTAAAATTTAAAATGATCTTTGTTATAACTAAGTGATTTATAGCTTTAAAATGTTGTTGAAAATGCGTTTTGTTTGTGTGAAAAATTGGATAAACTAAATTATGTTTAAATCTAATGGTGTACTGATAATTTTATTAAGTACAAATGCATAACACTGCCGACTATGAAATTTCATGTTATGTCGATGAGTTTTAAGACTTATCTTTTATAATTATTTATATATTTACGTATTTATTATTCATTTATTTTATTTAATTTGTCTGTTAATCTGTCCACAAAAATTTGACGCGCCTCAAAATTTGTTTAAAGAAAACTCATTTTAAATATATGCAGCATTACATAAAATATTTCAGTACCTGTGGTTTAATTACAATGTTATGTAATTATTTTTGTGATAAATTAATTGTGTAAAATTAAATTTTATGGTTTAATTAAGTAATAGTTTATCGTATTTTTTTTAAATTTCGTTTTTTAGGTGACCATTCCAAGTCTAGTCATTTTACATCCCCAATCACATCCATGAAGTGTCACTTTTTCGTACTGATATTTCAAAATTACTTTTTTGTATACGCTCCCAAAAACAGCTATTTTATGGACTCAAAAGTGTGCGTAAAATGAGTCTTTTTCGGACTCAATCCCAAAAAGTTAAAATGACAACTATTTGCTTTGGTCAATCTGATGACTACTATATATTTTCGAGAAATATTTGCTTTGGTCACATTAGTCGTATTAAGAGATTTGTTCAAATGTTTTTGGGAGCTTTAACAAAAAACATGTTGTTAGTAACACGTATCTAAAACGTTTTTTGGGACTCATTTGCTATTCCAGAAAAGTAGTACTTTGGTTTTTATCGAATCTTCAGCACTTTTCCTCCAAAAATAAAAACAGATTTTCTAACATGTAATCCACAGACATAACCAATTATTTTTCTGTATAGTCGCCTAAGAAACGTGTGTACCTTGGCCAAAGAGAACTCTTTTGGGCTCATCTGATTTGTAACTTCAAATCAGGCAAAAAAGTTCTTTTTTTAATTTTTTTTTTCACGAAGAGTTTAGTAACATATTTTTAGTTTAACAATTGTTAATATTAAAAAAAGAATATGTAGATCAACTTATCTTAACGATAGCTGGGACATGATTTATCGACGTCCGTAAAATTTTGGCAAAACAACAAAGTTATGAATACTTTGTGGCTATTCGAATTAATATATTTGTTCCCTCTAAAAAATATTGGTGTTATCTCGAAAAATGTGTTTTAGTTTTCATAAAAAAAGTATGATTTGTATTTGAGTATTATTTTTTCAGAATTGCTTGCACACAGTGTACCAAAAATTGCTCTAAAGTTATATGGACAGAAGAAGAAAAAATAAATTATTTAAAAATTTAACTTTCTGACCTGAGTACTTTATGTTTCACTGTTTCACCGTATTAGCGGACAAATTTTTAAACGGCACTTTTTACTAGAAAAGTACGTTTTTGTATTGAATACGAAAATAAAATGTTTTGAAATACAAATGGCAAAATTAGAGATAAACAATAAACACGGACTAAAAAAATATATTTGAAGACAGGAAAGATCGTTTGGTTCTATTTATTGAAATAACCAGAATACCATTCCGTATAAACTGCCATCTTATTCCTAACAAATTTGACCTTGTTTTACTGGAATACCGCAACGGCCTGTCGTCAAGCAGCAGTTTTTAGGGCCAAAATCCGTACACCAAACTATTTCGTTGATGTCAAGTATTGCTAAACGTAGTTCGCAATTAAATTTAGGTCAACACCCTAAAGTTCAAGAGACTAAGTATGTGAGGTGTAAGCACCTACACTTGAAGCAACACTACTTCAGATTATACGTTGCTTTGTTAATTGATCTTCCCACAGTTTTCAAAACACCCTGTCACCAATCACACAGTTTCAGCAAAGCAAGATAATAAAAGTTTTAACCTAACAAACATCAAAAGTAACAGTCCCTAGCTGTCTGGCGCCATTTAGTTTGCCTTCATCTGGCTTCTGAAATGATAATAATAAACTTTTTTACATATACATTTGGTGGCAAAGTTTAGCTTAAAACTATTTTTACCCATTACCACTAAATGATCGAAGAAAATAATAAGAGCTATTTTAACCTGCAGTAATGACAAAAAACGAGAAAAATTGATGTGTAAACAGTATGAGTAACACTTTGAGTGTGAAATATTTTGTGTAATTAACAGATCCACAGAAACACCATTTTAAAGCTTGACATGTTTTTAATTATATTATTAAGGGCAATGTGTAATTGAATTCCTTTATAATAGCAACAGATTATTAAATAAGACTGGAGTGTAGATCTCGGAATAAGAAAAATATCTTCAAAACTGATGCGACGACGACTGTGAGTGATTAACGATTTATAATTCTGCACAAAGCATTTTGATTTTGTGACATCATTCTAAAATAAGCCTTAAAAATTGTAGCATTCGTTTGTATATCTTAATTATAACAAACAAATTATTTGACTCTGGAGAGATAATGTTCAGTGGAAGACAGGATAATTAGTAATAGTACAAAAAAGTGTGTGTAACAGGTGGTTTTAATGTTTTCTAATTTGAGTTAAGTAATCTCTGTTTAGATTTTTAAACAAACAAAATCGTTTGCTCTTTGGTGGTCAATAAGGAAACAAATAAATCGCACAGGAAAATTTTAGTTTGTTAAAATTGTATTTGTAAGAGCAGTTTAATTTCAACGAAATTTAAAATTTCAGATTTATAATGGCTGAACTACTCCAAACCGAACGAACCTACGTAAAAGACCTAGAAACCTGCATTAAATGTTTTCTCACCGACATGCGAACTGGTAACAGTTGCCCTCCTGCAATTCATGGAAAAGACGAAATAATTTTTGGTAACATAGAAGAAATCTACAACTTTCACAATTCTATTTTTCTTAAAGAATTGGAAAAATACGAAACGATGCCTGAAGATGTTGGGCATTGTTTTGTAACTTGGGCACAAAAATTTGATATGTACGTTCATTATTGCAAAAATAAACCTGAATCAAATAGTTTATTGGTTCAACATGGTGGAGGCTATTTCGAAGAACTACAGAAGAAGCATAAAGTAGAACATCCAATTGCGGCTTATTTAATTAAACCCGTACAGCGGATCACTAAGTATCAACTACTGTTAAAGGACCTACAATCCTGTTGCCAGGAAGGACAAGGAGAAATTAAAGTAATAATAAAATAAAATAACGTTAACGAATCATAAACATTATTTTGCAGGATGGTTTAGAAGTAATGCTTAATGTACCAAAGAAAGCTAATGATGCCATGCACCTATCACTTGTTGAAGGCTGTGATGTTCCTGCAAATAAACTTGGTGAAGTCGTTTTGCAAGATGCCTTTAGCGTATGGGACCCCAAACAGTTAATTAGAAAAGGAAGAGAAAGACATATTTTCTTATTCGAATTGTACCTGTTATTTACTAAGGAAGTTAAAGATTCTGCAGGGAAAGTTAAATACATTTACAAGAATAAACTAATGGTAATTTATTGTTTTCACTGAGTGAGTTATAGTAGACTAATTTTACTTTATTCCAGACCTCAGAGTTAGGTGTTACTGAACATATGGAGGGCGATGAGTGCAAATTTGCGGTGTGGACGGGACGTGCTCCAATTTCTGACTATCGAATTGTATTGCGGGCGTCATCTTTGGACACAAAACAACTTTGGGTCAAGAAACTCCGAGAAGTAATCCAAGAAACTTACTTCAGTGGTGCTTTACCTTTGTCCCTGCCAAAGAGCCCTGCTAAATTGAAGCCTCACAGTCAGAGATCGAGCAGGTACATTTTTTTTTACATTTTCTGAAAAATATGTTAATTTTACTAATTGTGCAGAGATTTGGAGGAGTGCAATTCATTAGACGAAAGTGTTGAAAATCTGGATCGAAATTCACTCACTTCTTTTGGTTCTGGAAATACGACGGACTCGGATAAGGTAAGTGTTTGTTTTTTTTTAATTAACAATACATTGAAATGGCACAAAAAAAATCAAAACAAGATGCTTTTATTTTGGAAAGTTGATTAGATAATCTTAATCATACAGAGAATTCAGTTTCAAAACACTTTTTTTTCTTTCTTTTATTTGTTGACAAGCCACTTACACGATTAAATGGAAATTGGATTGTATTTTCGTTTTATGCCCGGAACGTTAACATTAAGTTCGTTGGGCGACTTGTCAACGGTAGAATCAATCAAGCCTGTCATACGCTTTTTCACTGCTAGAAATATTATGACTGAACGAACATCGTCATCACAGTTTCAGGTTTACGATGTGTAATAAATGTCGTTTATAATTATGAGAAATAAGTGTAACTAGTATCAAAGAATAGAAAATTTCAAAGTTAAAACTGGAAATAAATGACCAACAATGAGAACTATAAGTTAGTCTGTAGATTTAACCAATTTTTACTTCTATTACTGTACAAAATATACAAATAAAGGTAACAAATACGTTGCAAAGTAATTTATGAAATGGAGAACACAACAAAATAAATTTTCGCTTAAAAAAAATGTGTGTCGGAATTGTCCTCGTTCGAATTTTGTAATAGTTTTGTTAATAATTCAACCACACACTTTACTGAGGGCAGGCTTTGGTCTGGATTAAATATATTTTAATTTGCTGAGCACAAAAGTTTAAATACTTGACATGGCGGAGTTCGTACAGACACGAAATTTACAGAACACGATATCGTATTTTTTTACTGTAATTCAAACATTTCTTAAATCATCCGAAAATCAATAAAAACAAAAAAATACTACGTGGCTTATCATAGAACTTCTTGTAAAATTCTTGTTTAACTGGAAAGTCAAAAAAAAAAAAACTCAACCACAGTTTCAATATTTACATATTTGAAATATGATTGTAAAACAGATTAGCGCTATAATATGTATATGTTAAAAAAAAAACTCAATGCTGATTTATGACGCAGAGTTTTACACGTGAACTTCACAAAGGTCTTCGATTTATGACAACTATTGGATTGCATGTTTTTATATAACCTTCATAAAAGTGCACAAGCCATATGACTTAATCAACATCTCTGTATTGTATTCTGTGTATTATAAACTGAAATTTTGTGAGTTGTCCACCAGATTTTCACACAGTTACTCGCTAGTAGATACACTAGCGTCAACTGCCACAAGTTTTTTTTACATTTCATGATTTGTAGTTGTACAAATTGAAATTCTACAGAAGTGAAGCTCGCTTCAATTATGATTTATCACAATTAATTAATTATCGATTGATTGAACTCACATTTTCTGGGCAAATTTCACTTTGCTGTAAATGGGCTTATTAATTTATGTATTCTAGATATTCATAAGATTACTAGACATTATGTGTATTTATAAAATACTGTGTAACTTCACTAATTAGCCCTTGGTGATCTTATGGGAAGGGATTTATGAAGTAACCGTGCCAAACTAAGATTTAAAAAAAAGAATAAAATGATAATTCGTGGTGATGACGATAACTTCTTAAATAATATTCAAATAAATTTAGATACTATTTTTGCAACGCCAGCTTAGCCGTTAAGATTTTATTGTTCAACTACTTCATTGGCAGCGTTCAGATATTGTTATTTAAAAATTGCACGCTGCTTGAGATTATGCTATTTGTGCCACTTGTTTGACTGAGTTAAACAAAGATGGTACAAGTACCTAAAAAATTTAAGATAAATCTGTGGTGGTTAAGGTGCAGTAAATACTGTAAACTCCCAAAATTATGCAACATTTAACTTCAGGAACTGAACCCATAAATCAGAAGATCTAATAGACCCACATTTAATGGATTACAAACTTAAGAATATAACTTTTACAAAAAAAAGTTTTTGTATTTAAAAGAATTTATTGTAGAACACTACTACGTGTTTCAAAATATTTTTATTTATAGAGGGTTAATGGAAACAAATATTTACCACGTCAATATAAAATACTAAGAAGAACATAGATTACATATTGGAGGCAACTTTAATGTTTTAACTTTAAAAGATGTCCTTTAATTGTTTCAATAGGACTCTTTTTGCGACAGTGTCACTACACGCCAGAAATAACAAAAATTGTACATATTCAACAGCAACTCTCTCTGAAACAAATGTATCTAAATATGTATAATCTCACTTTTAATAATTTAGAACAGATAAATAGAATGTGCATCATTTCGATTCTTTCCTCAAAATCTAAACAGCTAATAGTTGGTTAAAAAAACCTAGAGTCAAAAATGAGTGATACAAAAATAACTTTTAGGTCCAAAATTTGTGCTAGTATCCCATCTATATTCTGTCTTAAGTTTATGAAATAGACAAAACGTGCCATTAGGCCAGTATAATCAGAAAAACAAATTTTTCACGAAGGTAAAGTCCGTTTTAATGAGTATAGATGGGTTAAAGTTATTGACAAACGTAAATAGAATTTTACGCAAGCCCCAGGAAAATTCATGCCTCGCAAAAAGAAAATGGTTCTCGTACTGGGTGAACAAAAATCTTGCGTTTTCCACTAATCTGCCTCTTCTGTCCTTGGGACAAATTGCGAAGTTAGTGGACTTTAAAAAAAAACGTATAGTCATGCTCACATAAATCCCATAGAGATAACAATCTGAATTTGTATCCATACTATTGATTTTGTACTGATTTAAAAGTGAGGTTGTCCGGGATTTATGTGAGCATGACTGTACTTTATTTGAATATGAGAACATTAACTGTCACAAGATGGTTCCAGAAAATGTATCGACACATGTTAAGACACTGGAAATCTGCTATGCGAATTAAATATTTCAATAACTGACAGTGAAATTAGAAGTCAAAAAATTGTAAGCTGATGTCCAATAAACAATTAGCCAGCCATATAGACAACTGAGATTCACAATCGAATGGCGGACCTAGTGGAGGTTCGAAGTGTGATAGATATACTTTTCTGTAAATTTATGAAAGAACCTGTAAAGTTGTTTGGTAAAACAGCAGATAAAGTCGCAGACAAAACTTAATAACAAAGAAACATCTTCTGTGTCAAAATTTTCATGAGTTAACACAATTGTCGCTTGTGTCATTCTATTTTGAGACTTAACTGTAGTGGTTTAAGCTTCAAAATTTTGACAACTCAAGTGTAGGCTGTCGTTGCGAATCTACTTTCTCGCTAAATTGTGTCTGCAATTTTATGATGTAAGTAAACGCCAAACAAATTACCAACTACAGTAAAAATTTTACTGTCTCATATTAAAAAAAGGAGACGTACAGCAATTCAAAATTATCTGCCAATATCTCTTCTATGTAACTTTGCAGTGTTAGAAACCATTTTACCTAAACAGGCATATACACTGCTGTTAATCAGGCAATCTCGCCCTTCAACATGCTTTCACGGAAAAAATGCCAATAAGAACTAACCTTACCAGATTTACGCAAGATGTTTCTGAAATTTTGGCTGATAAATGGATCACTTTATTTTACTTCAAAAGTTGGGCGTGATGGCATTTTCTAACTGTATGGTACAGTTATTTTCTTATTTACTTGGTCGAGAGCAGCGTGTACTTTGTCGAAATCGCTGCTACCAATTTTTGGCGTTCTGCAAGGATTCAATTTAGGACCGTTGCTTTTTTTAATATTTATTAATGATATGTAGAAAATAAAAGTCAGTTACTTTGTGAAATTCTGTACGGAACAATTTGACATTAGTTGTCAGTACTTTGCTTTAAACAAAATCCATTACCTGGAAGAGTGTACATCGGTACGAATTATTATCACAAAAGCATGGAATGATACAATTTAGAACTTTCTCTCGGTCTGGTTGTCTGCCGGAACTTAAAAACAATAACATCAAAAATAGTTACCAACTGCTGTTACAATGTGAATCAACGATATCATCTGTTGAATGTGTTCTTGTCTAGTCTAATCTGACTAATGCCGCAACGTAACAGTAATTTTTCGCCATTAAATTATTACTAACCACAAGATGTGTTAGTTTTTATATTTAGTTTACAAGTATGGGTGTAGTTTTATCAGAGAAATAGTTTATGCATAAGACAAATGTGAACACACATGTTGTCATCTCTGGAAAAAAAAATACTTTTGGTAATCTTTAAAACGAATTGCATTATTTGAATCAGAACAGCGAAGAAAACTAACTGTACATTGAAATATGAAAACAATTTGAGGCAAAATAGGAATGTTAAAAAATACTAAAAATATGTACAAAAAAATAGAATAGAAAAGTTCAGTTTAGTATCTCTGTGAAGATAACGATAATAAATTTTTCTCACGCAATTGTATAAAGACTGCATACACAAGGATTCAAGGAAGCAAATATATAGAGCAAATGCTATACGAATATACAAAAAATTATCAGAGAAATTTTATAAAGCAGAGTAAAACAGAACACCAAGAGGAAAGTTAATACAAGCATATAAAAATGTATTTTTATTTATAGGTAGTGATGTGGTACATTAATATAGACATCTGTGGAAGCAGAAAATAAAATTATAATTAGTAAGTTAGCAGTAATAAAACTTCAAGTTTGGAATGTAAAATGATTTTTTTTTATTCATTTTGGTTACAGTTCTGTTTATTTAGTTACATTTTTCCATGTCTCTCCATTTCTGTTGTGACGTTTAAAATCTAATGTTTGCTTTTCAGATATTATCAATGAGTATTTTTTTATTGCACAGGTGTTCAATTTTCAAATTCTTAGTTTTCTTAAATGCAAATTGTGATTGATGATTAAAACTGACTTTATTGCATTGTCCAACCTATATTTAGAAATTATGTCTAGGAATCAACATGCAATAGTAATTGTTATAAGAATCTTTTGCCTCAATAGCTTACATTTTTGTCTGATAAAATATCTTAGTCCCACAATTTATTGTAAATAGCCAATATATGTTTTTTGTCAAGTTCTCTCAAAAATGTTTCCATTTCAAAAACCGACAGGATAACAAACATATTCTTG